TATGGTAAGCACATAGTCACATACACGTATACATGTAAGTACATTCGTGTGTGCAAATGTAAAATATTTGGCAAGCGAACGCCTTTGTGTAACTGCGCTGCATTGTGTCTGTGTTTGCTTTAGTCTCCATTTTGTTTATTCACAAACTTCCGGTGTGACGGTCGCACTTTTTCCTTTCGCTTTGCATACTCATACACATATGCATATGTATTAAGTACAATATGTATTTTGCTGCTGGCCGCTTTGGTGTTTCCAAACTTTTTATTTTAGTGTTTTTATAGCTGTAAAATTTTTATTTTTATTTATTTTTTGTTTTTTAATTTTCTACGTAAACTTTGCTAATATTCGTTTGTACCTCGCAGGCGTAAAAGTAACATTTTACATTTTCACTTCAACATATTCATTGCCTGGTATATGGTAGACCATAAAATATGTGCGCTTGCATGCTAATACTTGTATTTTTTATATTTTTGTATATGTGTGTATGTATGTACATGGATTTGTAAGAGTTTTTTGCATGCATGCAAATTTCGGTGCAAATGAATTAATTACCGTTAGTGGCTGCTTTGACTAGGCAATTCTCGCAAGGTTTTAGGGAAATTTTTGTTGTGTGTGAGTTTCCGTTGAGATTTCGCAAACTTTTAGCTCGGGTCAATGGACATCAGTGTTGGTGAGAAAATGTTTTAGATAAGGAAATTTAATTTAAAAATTTATAAATTGCATTTGAAAATACCGAAAGGCATTTGAGCGCATGACATATGCTATTTTATTCAGTTTTTATGCCAATAATAAGAAAAAGGAGTGAGATGGCATTTTTAAAAAGGGCTTATTTTTGACTTAACGGTATTTATTGATGCTTTTCATTGTATTCTCAATGATTTACCTTCAGCGAACCAAAACGTTTCCGACTCGCTGCTGTAAGAGCTTTATATGCGAAGAGCTAAATTTCCTTCAAGAAAATACAAACTTTCTGGCGTCAAACCCAAATTTCTATGGGTGATTCTTCTTAAGTTCCAAAGCCATTTGTATTTGTATTCGTCAAAGTCTACTGACGCTTTTTCATCTGGATGAAACGGTTAAGTCATATTTTGTCAGGTTCTTCAATGAAAATATGTGCAGCTAACCTCTTTATGAAGAACTCGAGTCTGCCATAGAGACTCCGTTGAGTTGAAATTCTGCTAGCTTTCTTACACCACCATACAGGCATTTTATTAGCCTTATCAGGTCTTTGTATTACTCACAGCTATTCACGCTGTCATGAAGCATTATTTATCTTGCTTCTGAGATACCTCGCTTGAGGGTTCCATCAAATCGGTTTTGCCCAACTCTTGCTATGCGCATTGGACAAGGGTATGTAAGAGCATCAATTAAGGTGGGTACAGGTTTATTATAAAACGCATGACGCATAACCACAAATGGAAGGAGGAGATCGGTTAAAGCGCCAATTGAATATATATATATATATATATTCACAGTCTGGAACTGTCTGATATTAGACCAGTGTGTCAACATAGGGTTTGAAAAACCGTAAGCCCCTTGTCCTATGATCAGAGAAGGGTTGCCAATCAAATGTTTTTCAATTCTCTACAGTAACTTGTAGATCGTATCGGCTCTTAATGGAAGACGTATCTTATATCATGGGACAGTAACTATACAAATAAAGATCATAATGTATGTTTATATGTGATGAAACCCCTTTTTAAATATGAGTTTCGTGCAATTTTAATTTCCTTCTGCACTTTTAATGTGAATTACGTTTTCTGAGCTTTCGATCTACGCTGTTGCGTATACGCCTGGTTGTCTCTGATGTCCAAGAGCTTCAAGCGCTACTTTAGCACGATAAGAATTGTCAGATACAGTGTCACTTTAATTTAAAGAATTTTTAAAGATCTCCTTGAAAAGTCCTTGAGCAAAACATACTTTTACATTGGTACGCTTATTTATTTGCCAGAAACCTTTTCAAAATGAAAATATTTATTGACCATTATTTTGCTATTTTTTCAGCCATTACCTTTAAATCAGGAGCTTTATTAGGTAATTGAAGATCGCGAATATATCAATTTTTACAAAGTAAACCAATTTTTTTTATTGGATCGGGTTTATTTAGGCCCAAAATCAGGTTAGCAGTTACAAGTCGCTAATTATTTGTATATGCAGGATGGGACTTTCAAGTCTTTATCTTTGTCTTTGTTAACTCTAAAAATACCAACCCCTGTGCAATTACTGTTCTAGTCCTCCATTCAAATTCAAGAGAGATCGGCTAAACTGGTGACGAGAAAACACAATAATGCTGAAGATAGGTCAGACGAAATTCCACCACCAACGCAAACAGAATTTCACCATGTGTTTCTCTTCGGGCTACGGCATAATTTACAGCCTATACAAATATTCAGTGAATGCCAAGTTACATAAGGAACGATTACACTGTCTTTAAAGAATATTTCTGAGTGGTTCGGTAGGTTCCAGACCGGACATTTTTCCGTTGAGGACGAACCCCAAAAGTATCCTCTGATGACGTCACTGCAGCTCTGGTGGAGTCCAAAACTGACGGAGACCCACGATGGACTCAAGAAATGATTGCTAATAAATTGGACTAGAATGCTTTGGCTGTATCACGATTATTTAGTTATCACCTGGGATACACGAAGTTATCAGTTCGTTTAAATGAGATCCAACAAGAGGCTCGGGTACGTTTTGCTGAATTTTTTCTAAAAAAAATTCATAAATGGTCAGTCTAGCAACTTATGTAAAGTGATTGAGGAATCTTGATTCTATAAGCAGGATGCAGAAACCAAACGGCAGTCCACGGTATGGAGCCCCACACAAGCTAACCCGCCCTTAAAATCTAAGCAACAAAAATCAGCAGCAAATACGAGTATATTGGTCTCTCATTATGGTAAATTTTTCGTGTTGGTGAAGGTATAATCCGAGTTTGGTGTCATGGAAGTAATATAATCTCAAATTATTTAGTTTCGCCTGAAAACGCCGAGAGTTCATGAAGTAAAAGACGGTGGCAATGAGTTCACAAGTGAGTTCACACTTAGTCTTCTCGTAGTTGGTTAGTCTTTTAATGGCGTTTGCTTAAGAGTTTCGCTTTCAAAGGTAAATTATTTATAATTTTTTGCTCTTAAGTTCATTCGTAGGCTTAGGTTACTTTGTCATCATTCCATACAAGAGTATTGGTCCTGACCTCCTACTCTCCTCCTTGACTTACTTGTGGCTTAGTGATCCCAGAATTAAACCTTGAATCTTTGGTTTACTGTTTTACTTCTTTTTTCAGGGAACCACTTTCCTATAGTCTGTGAGTTGGGTTTTCTGGGCTTTGTTTTCCATCTTTGCGTAAAAGATTAACTGAGTAGTTAAAATGTTCACACATTTTCCATTAGACAAGACAATGCAATCTATATCTTTAATTTAAAAAAAAAAAAAAACAAAAAAAATTAGACTCAGAAGAATAGAAGTGTGCAAGTGTGAGATGCAATGTGTTTTCTCTTGTATGCATGTAGATGAAAACCACGTTTTATCTAACTATCTGCAACTCATTAGCACTTTTTCACAAATTTAATTGCAAAAGTTGAACGTGCTCCACCCGACAAAGCCTGAGGCGAGAAAAACGAATGCAAAGTAGTCGAGAAACAATGAAACGATGAATCAGTGCAAACTCATACCTACACTATTGTAGAACAATATATTTAATGAAAAGTGGTAAATGAGTTGAGAGCATGTATGTATGTATGTGATGGTATCGGCATGTATGCGCGGATGTCGAGTCATTTACCTATATTTTCGGAAATTTATAATTAGTGCCATTCTCTTTGCCGAAAAGAGTCACTAAATTTATATAAATGTGTTTCCAGCTATAAAGTATAGCTTACATAAATAAATAAAATAGCGGTAAAGAAAATAATGGGCTATAAATTTATTGCGTTGAAATAAATTCAAAGCCTCTGCCGCTCACATCTCACAAGATGCACTCTAGCCGAAAAAAGAACACTTAACCGAACTTAAACTAACTGTAAAACTAATGGCTTGCAGAATTCACAAATTCGCACGGGACAAAGTAGAGAACAATTATTTTAGTTTATAATCAAAGCAATAAAGTTAAGGCAAACACAGCAATATTTCATGGAGTTGAATTTTGAAAGCTGGCAAAAAATATTTTCCATTCAACTCGTTGTCGCACGGGACACTTTTTTTATTTTCTATTTTTGTTATCATTGTTTTAGTATTGAAAAACAGCTTGAAATTATTGGGAGACAAATGGGATATTACCAGTGGCTGATGAGGGCTCAGTTGCGACTTGTTTACATTTATAGCGAAAGGCTCAAATTTTGAAATCAACAAATTTCACTTAAGAACTGTCGAACGGGACCCAAGATTTTATGTTGAAAAGCTTCTCCATTTTGTATTTCTAACTGCTTGGGGTGGTCATTCGACCTTTTTTTCCGGAAATGAGACCGAAGCACCATTTAAGTTGTGTATTGCGCCATCGAAAGATGATTAATGAATTTTTATGGCTAAAACAAGATGACTACATGCCATAAAATCAGCTAAACCATCGCTCTTTTAAGTAAAAAGTTTCCGGAACGTGTTGTTTAGCAAAGAGGTGACCGTAATTGGCAAATGAGATCTTGTGATTAAAAAGCTTTCTTTAGAGTCGCGTGAAAGCTAAGGTCAACGGCAACAGGTCAACGCCGATACAAGACCATAAAGATGGAAATCGTGAAGCTGTTGAGGGCTTAATGCAGCCACTTTGAGTTTCCTAGATGCTTTTTGAGGTCATTATTTTTCTTTGAATATCAAAATAATAACTTAGTTTGGAAAACCTTGTAGAAGCGAGATCAGATCTTGTTTGGTTGTCATAAAAATTTTCAAATTTATAGCTTCAATATTTCATTGTTCACATTGTTCAGAATTATTTCAAATTCACTGATATAAAAGTCAATAAATTAATATAAATTAAATATATGAATTAACTTCTCTTTTTCGCTCTCTTTCAGGACGAACTGCACCCAACCGTCTCCAGATGAGTCGCTTGAAATTATACTATCGACTTGAAACTGCCAATATTTCCAGCCACCAATTAGCAACTTGAGGAAAAAAGCAAAATTAATAAATTTTCAACGGTTGAAATAAAACTACGGTTGAAATTTCTTTTTAATTTCGACACAGAAAAAACATAAATTTATATAAAAAAAATATTAATTAAAAAAAAAAATAAAACAAAATGCAGCTCAGCGTTAGACTGAAAGCCAACATACCGCATAGATAGAATAATATCGTTAAAAGTACTTTTCACTCAACTCAAAAAAAAAAAAACACGAAACATTAATCAATTGAAAATGTTTGTTATATATATCCCATATCGGCTCCCTCTGGTTTTAAAAAAGTCCAGAAGCGAGTATGAAACGATTGCTAAAGAAATACATCAGCCGAGAGTAAGAAGAAGTCCTAAGAACAAAAATTTATTGATAGCTGTTGAACTATCGAAGCATATGATATTCGTGCTATTCGCAATATGGCTGCTTGGTTTCCTACGGCCGCCCGTTTTTGCAGAGGCTTCCACGTTGGATATCTACAAAAATGCCCGACTCGGTCATAGGATTGTACAGACGCGTTACGGTCGTTTGCATGGTCTAATTTTGCCATTGGATAATTTTCGTTTCCTGCGCTCGGTGGAAGTGTTTCTCGGTGTACCGTATGCGACGCCGCCAATAAAACAAAATCGGTGAGTACAAAAAAAAACAAGAACCCAAATTAATAAAAATTAAAATTTTGTACCATGAATTCAGTTGATTTTAACTCTACAAAAAATGTTATCTCAGTTTGGGTCAAAATGAGAGGGAATTTAAAATTATTATATTTTAAATCATAAAATTAACATATCTAGTGATAAGGCTCTTATTAAATTCCAATTGATAAAACCAATAATTAGTTTTGGTTAAGAGAATATAAGGAGCGGACAATTCATCGACTCTTTCCATAAGAAAAATTGCTGATGAATGATGAATCAATGATTTATTACGAAAGTTGCATCTTATATTTCAGGATTAGAGTAGAAAAACAAACTAAAATTAAATGAATGCATAGACTTTAGAATAGACGGAAAAGGCTGAATTTCTAAGCCACCTCTACTCTCTCTCCCTCTCTCTCTCATATAACTCAAGCGCAGGTTCATCACGCCCATGTTATTAAAATAAATAAAATTAAAGTATTTTCTTCCCTTTCTGTCTTTTGCTTCATTTTTGCCATATTTTTTAGTCGCTCGTTTGCATATTATTGACGTTAAAGTAAACAAGTCGATATACTCGTACCTTGAATTAGAATTCTTTAGCGTTTAATGCCCATACACAAATACACTACACAATACATAACTAGACTCCAGAGGAAATAAAAAAATTAATGGCTACATATATATAAGGCATATATTTAAAGTGGAAATTTAAGAATAATAATATTTTATTCTTGACTGAGGACTCAGAAAAATCTGAGGGCTGTCGAAGGAACCTTTATGCACTGATAAAGCTCTCGGCAAGGTGATGTGTGTATGCCTAGCAGACAGCCACAGTTATAGTTATATAAAAAAAAAACAAGAAATGTTCAAACGCTCTAGCAGCTTGTCTGTACACGTTTCTTTTTACATACCGCGCGACAATTTTTTATAATTAAATACCATGTCACACTGTTCCCACAAAGCGTCTATCTGACGGCATCAACATATTTTCGCCTAATTTTGATGCCCGTTTTTATCGTAGTTGTAAAATACGGTTACAGCTGTTGTTTACCTTGATTTTCAATGCTATTTTTAAATTAAGGACAAACAACAGGAGTGCAAAACAAAAAAAAGCAAAAATTTTTATTAACTACAGGTATAATAATAAAACAAAAAAATAAAATAGAAACAAGTTATCTAAAGTAAAATTAAAAAAAAAAAAAAAAATAAATTAAAAAATAATAAAATAATAAAAAAATTCATTACAAATTTAAATAAAATAAACTAAAGTAATTAAAATAAAGTATAATTAAAAAAAAAAATAAAATAATATAAAATAAAATAAAATAATATAAAATAAAATAAAATAAAATAAAATAAAATAAAATAAAATAAAATAAAATAAAATAAAATAAAATAAAATAAAACAAAATAAAATAAAAAACCTAAAATAAAATAAAATAATTATAATAGAATTAATTTAAGCTAAATAAAATAAAATAATTTTTGAGCTAAGCCAAGTTTATTCTGGTTAAACAAAATTAAGTAAAATGGCAAATAATAAAATAAATTTAAATTATTTTTAAATATTTATAATTAAAAAACGAAAATAAAATAATAAAATATAATAAAACCAAATTAAATTATATTAAATGAAATTTATGACACATAATTTCTCGGGAAGAGAGTCAAGAGCGTTTATTTATTATATACGCGCATGTGTACACATGTATTTTAGAATTATTAATATGCATATATATATATATATGTATATTTCGGAATCAGAAAGAGCTATAGAATCAGCATCACTTTACTTGTTAAAGCATATGTTTAGCCCCTGGGCTACACGCCTGCAATTGTAAGCATGAAAGAGAGAGAGAGAGGGAGGGAGATAACAATAGACGCCAAAGTGAACACAACAATAAAAGGAATTTAAAAAGTTTATGTAATATCATCACAAGCAATTACGCTGCAACTTTTGCTTCCACTTCAGCACTATAAGCAGATCAACGGCCATTGGTTGCCATGTTTCCCTGTTATTGGCAGTGGCGACTCACATGCCCGTCAAAAAATAAAAAATAAAAAATAAAAATAAAATAAAAAATAAACTCGTAATACGCAAAGTAGATGATGATGGAATCACGTCAGAAAATCAAATATTTGTTGGTCTAGGTGGCGGCTGAGTGGCTGAAGTATGTTTAAATATTTGAGTGCCTTGAATATTAAAAAGACTTTCAGTTCATCAGTGGAGGCAGCCAATATGACTACAGTATGAAGTATATCTACAAGAATCTCATACTTTAAAAGATTATGAGTGAAATTGCCTTTTGCAATGCTGACAACAGAGAGGCAAGCAAATACAGGGCGGCAGTTGGCAAGTTGCGAAGGGGATACATGGAATTAAAAGTTTGCTGTAAGGTCGGAAGCATTATTTTAATTTGATTGCATTATTAAAAAGGCGCAACGCAAATTACTTGAGGGCACAGACAATTTGGCTAATCTTCATTCCCCCGCTAAATTTGAAGGCAAATAACAGCAAAACAAACGGTGGCTGTAAGAAACATGCTGACTAATGATGATAAATAATATTTATATATTATATTATTCAAGTTTTAAGTTTTTTAAAATAAGTAATAATTTTTTAAAAAAGAAATATCAAACTAACCCATAATGGAAAACGTGTTGAAATATATTTGTAAGAAATTATTAAATTCGTGAATAACTTACCCTATGAAGCCGCGTTAGCCGAGTGCTTAGTATTGCGTACTGACATTCGGAGGGCTCGCCCTTCGGCTTCGACGCTGAACACATTTTTTTTTTTTGAACTTTCTTAACAGAGCAGGAGTTTTGATAATAAAATTCAATAATTTGCAATCCTTGTTCATTTTGTTCGTTTCACGAAACGTGCGTCAGCTGTTTAAACCGGTGTTGCTAAAAAGATAATAGTTAAAAAATCACCCTTTATGAATCTGAGTTTTTGATTTTATTATAAACAAGGCAAGCAGCTTCATCGTTATCAACTATACTTGAAGTTAAAAGTATTGTTGCTCTCAATATCGGTGCCAAAGCAGTGGGATGCCTCTATAATGCCTGAGAATTCTAATTATAATGCAATGAATTGATGTTGTTGTTGTTGTAACCGCAAAATTATTCCCCAAAGTACTTTTTGGGGTATATTGCGGAAGTGACAGTTCTTGGCCGGATAAAAATCCGGGTCGTTCCGGTATAAAGACCCGACTGTCGCGGGAACTATTGGATTTTAGTCCCCTCTTACGACAGGCATGCCTTACCGCGGGTAAATTCTTGAGCCCCTAACCCGCAATGAATTGATCTTGGAACTTTAAAAATAGCTCAAATGTAGACTTCTTCAGAAAATGCCTACGCTAACTTCTCTATCTTGTTTTAGTCCATACTTATGTACTTTTGTAAGAATTCTTGCTTCATTCTGTCGTTAGAGATTTTAGGGATTGAGATATCATGGATTTTCGAGTATTCAAATCGATGTCTAAGTTAGCTTCACTAGACGAGAAAAGACAGTCTGATTAGCCTTTAAGTCCTATATTAGAGTACTGAGGAACACAATGAAGGCCTCAATTGGGTTGGTTTGAGTTGGTTTTGGCTTTGTTTATGCAGACCACCATACAGTCACCGCACGCATACTAGGTTTGTAGATCTAGTAAGATTCTTTAGGATATCAAATCCATTTCCAACCAATTTTTTTTTCCAAGTATGGCGAGGCCTTTTCATAAGTCTGTACCTACCAACATGACGGCTTTCCAGTTCAGTTTCTTGTCCAGAACTAAGCTCAGAAATTTTTCCTTACACTTTGGTATATTTTTATTTAAAACAACGCAGTGATTCGAACGGGGAAACCTTAACTTTTTGGCTTATAAATTTCGTACGACTAACTAATCAAATATATGATTTTGTGCCACAATTAACTTCAATTAGAAGTATTTGATCTATATGATGGGCGGCCATGATTATATACAGAGTCCACGCAAACCCCAATGCTATCATTTATAGGTACCAAGAAGCTGTTGCAGAGATATTCAAACCTCTCACAGGTGTAACGAAAAAGAATAAAGAGTTGACAGCTTCGAAATTAAATTGCCCGGCAGAAATAAATTGGGGTTATTTTTCAAGCATTAATATTTTATCTTCAATATAATTAATGATGGTTTTATAACAGTGCAAATGATTTGATAGAAGGTTTTTTTTTCTTGCAAATATCAGGCTTTTATTAGTTCCGCTGGATACCATGATTCTAGTGTGAATCATTTCTTTACTCAAATCAATTTTAATTTTCTACTATGCAATCGAATACTTAGTAAAAGTAAAATTAAGACTTTGCTACAAACATATTTCCAAATTGGCTCCAAAGGCAAAAGTAAATATGTAATTAATGCCACAGAGTACTAAAAATATAATTTACTGATTAAAAAATAAAGACACTCTGAATAATGGAAAAGTTTACAATATCATTGAATACAAAGAAAGCAAATTGCAATACAAATACAAACGACGTAAACAAAAGTACATGAGGACATACAAAATTACGCTGTAGCGATAAAACAAAGATGGCCTCGGTAATCAAGCGGAAAATTGCTAAATAAAATTTTATGGCAAAACTTTTCGAAAAACAGATGCAGAAGCAAAAGCGATAAAAAGGACAACATTTGCACAGCATATAAAAATTAAAAAATCAATATACTATAATGAAAAAATATTTTTTTTTTTTTTTTTTTTTTTGATTTAAAGTTTTCTTTCGGCGCAGGATTTTTTTTAATTATTATTTTCTTTTCTTAACTAATTTACAATTTTGTCGCATTTATTGCATTTAATGATTTGCCTGCCATCAACCACAGTTTAGAGAATATTATTGGGTATGCATATTATGCATATATGTAAGTATGTAAGTATGTCTTACTTGTTGTAATTTATGTTCATGTGACGCAAAAAAAAGCAAAAATAAAACATCTACTTACCCTCAGCCACTTAACACCAAATCCGTGATCAATCGCTCTAATCCATCTTCCTTGCAGCCTAACAATGTCTCCTCCATTTCATTTTCCAATGCTAATGCACTTTTTCAACTACATTTTTTCTGCTTGTTTGCTTCTTTCTTTACAGGTTTAGTCCGACACGTGCGCCAGCCCCTTGGGATGGTATACGCATTTCAGACAAATACAGTCCGGTTTGTCCGCAACGCTTGCCGAATGTACAAAATGAGACGGCGGCATTGGAGAAAATGCCCAAAGGACGTTTGGAGTATCTAAAAAGGTTGCTGCCATTTTTGGAAAATCAATCAGAAGACTGCCTTTACTTGAATATATTCTCACCGAATAATGGTAAGTTGATGTGCGCCTACATAGCCTACACAGAAGATGGAGGAGCTTATGAGCTGCTCTTTGCAAAATGTTGTAAAATCAGCCTTCTTGTACTGAAATGAATAAATTTTAACGGTAATGCGCTTTACGGCCCATTGAATTCGAAGGGATTATTTCGATTGTTGTACTGTGATTGATGATATTTAAATTAATTGCAGTAACGGTGTAAGAAAGTTATGAACTAGCAAAGCTGCATATGGTCAACAAGAATCTGCATTTCATTTTGTTTCACAGTCCACATTAAAGGCAAATTGATGAAAGCTGAACTCATTGCTTGGCAGTATTTTTGAATGTTGAGTTATTGAACCGAATCAAATATTCTTGGCGACATGGCAACTTTGGATTACTTCTCAAAGGCCTCATAGTTTTCACATTTCGGTGTGAGAAGTCCGATATTTAAAACTTATTTTGCGATTCTTGAAATGACAAAAATTCATTGCATCGTAAGGTAAGAGCTTTCAGTTTTCAATAAATTCGCTACGCTCTTATTTAAACTAAGCCCACCAGTAGATTTCTCCCGGCGAATAATTCATAGCAAACTTTGAGCGCTGAAATGAGTGTTTTCATCCATCTAAACGTTATATGGTAGACTGCGTCTACTACGTCTGTAAGAAAACCCAATACACTGCGCTGGACTGGGCAGGATGCAGAAAGTTGTAACGAAATTTGAGCTGAATGTAAAATTCAATAGGGAAACAATTTTCAGGCAGGTGCCGAAGTTTTCTATAACTACATGATGGTATAAATGAGCGGCAGGCAGAACCGTAGTATTCTTCCATGACTACCTCAATAACCACGCTAGTTTCAGACTCGATGATTACAGCACTCAGACATATAACAAATTATCACAGAAAAATGAGAATATGGTATGATCACCAAGGCACATGGATGTAAGAAACAATGAAAGGGCGGTCTAGTTGACTAGTACTGCCGCCGCCATTCCCGTCGACAGACCCAGACCTTTAAGAGCCTTCAAATGTTGACCAAAGTAGCTTTTGGAGGAGGAACAACTAAAAAACTGGAGATTTTCATGGAAATGCTATGGATTGTGAACACACCACTCGCGTTGAGTGACACGTGAGTGTCTCACCTTTAGCCAATTGAGACTTCAGGTCTTTTATGATGCTCTCAATTCCAGTCATACAGCCATGAACAAACTAAAATAATTCATAAAACCGAGGGAACTGTTCGCAACCGCATAGTTGGGGTACGCTTCTGGTCATATACTCAAGCTCATCTCAACAAAAAAAAACAACTTAGACGATTTTTTTTTGTAATTCTTCTCGGTGACTAAAAGGTTACTCATACCACATGTCGTACCAATTGTTCTTAACTTGAGGCAGTAACTTGCTTTAGAGGCAACAAAAATGCATTTCTTTATAAAAAAAACTATTCTAAAACTGTGCAAAAATGCATCTTCAAAATTTTAACGGTAAATTCGATATATTTAAGAAGCTAGTGTAGTTTTTGTGGCCGTGCGTCGAGCAGGTTCCAGTGCTCGGACTGAACTTTGAAGCGCGTTCTCTCTAGTTTTCATTATTACAAGTCTTAGAAAACGATGTCGGTGATAGCAAAGAGAGAATGTGTATCCGTTGGGAAAAAAATGAAAGTGACCTAGCTTCAGAATCAAATTATCTCGTATTTGAACAAAAAAAGGGGGACAATTTTTTTTGCAGCTCAAACTGAAATTTTTTACAAAAAATTGAATTTTTTTAAGCTTTGAAAGAAATTGCAATTTTCCTACTTTTTCAGTAGTTTTTAAATTCAATAATAATAATAATAATAATTATAATAAAAATAATAATAATAATAATAATAATAATAATAATAATAATAATAATAATGATAATTTAAATAATAATAACAATAATAATAATAATAATATTTAAACTGAAGGCTCGGTTATTTAGACTGTAATTTATATATGCATATGATTTGCATTTGAAAAGTGTCAGCAGAAATTTCGGCTACACATTTCCAAAATTTTTGTCAAAATATTTATTTCTTCCTTTTAAAATATTCCAGTAATTACTAAATTAATACTTAATTTAATTACGCAATTTTTTTGTTAATTACCAATTAGGTGCACAGTATTTAATGGATTTTAATGTGTTCATCACAAAATATTCCTTCCGCTTTCGTCTCTCATGTAGCAAACTGCAGCTCTGACGACGGTTCTGCTATTAATTAACAGCAATAGTTAAGTAAAAATGGTTGTGCGTTCATACACAATCAATTTGAATTGAGAATTCAGACAGGGTAACTCTTTATCAGGCGAGTTCTCAATTTGATGCTTCATAACTAAAAAGACAAGTACAACTGCTGGTATATGCCGATTATGCTCGATGAGTCTGCCTTGCGTGTCTTCGGGAGAAGAATTTTGCGAACGATTTGTAGTCGTTTAGGAGTTGGCAACGCAGCTTATGGAAGGATGTGCTATTCGAGTTATACAACGACACTAATATAGTGCAGCGAATGAAGAGACAGTGGTTGGATCTAGACACTCCAGCTTTGAAAAGATGCGATGCAGTACACGCTGGTGGAAGCAGAAGAAAAGTAAGACACGCCCTTCGTTGCAAAGATCAGGTGGAAACTCTCCTGCTTTCTATTGGTAATTCCAACTGACGACAAGCAGCTAAGAGGAGCTAGGAATGGCGCCCTTTTGTTGGTTCGCTATGGTATATTCGACCAATAAGCGAGTAGTTAGCATTGCCTACTGTCATTCTGAAATCCAACTTTCGAAATTATTAATTTTTCGAAATGCGAGGAAAGTTTAGCTCTTCAAAAATCGATCACCTGTTCGGTGAATACTTAAATTAAACTAGGTAGAGCCATCGTCGTCGTCATCAGTAATGACTTTACTGAAGTTGCTATACTGACCATTTTAGATTTTTTAGGAAAATGCAGAGAAATGTTCTCGAGGCCCTATTTGAATTCGTGGTACCCACCAAAGAGATTTTTTCCCGTACCCCAGATAATTATTTAATATTGGCCATAAAGCCAAGGCATTCAAGCACAATTCATTAGCAATCAATTCTTGTGTCAATCGTGGGTCTTCGTTAATTTTGGGCTTCACCAGAGCTACAGTTTCGTCATCAGTGGAAGATTTGGTCCACTTTCTCGGGGATCGCTCCCTACGGAAAAATATTCTGACTAAAATCTTCGGAGCCACTTAGAAATAGTCTCTAAAGACGGTGGAATAGTTTCATGGAATTTGGCACTCACTCAATATATGTATTGACTGTAAATTACGGCGAATCCCGAAGAGAATCACATGACGAATTTCTGTTTACGTTTGTGGTGGAATTTCGTCTGACCTATGCTCAGATATCTTGCGTTTTTCCGTCTACATTTTAGTCGATCCTCTTAAAATTTGTAGGAAAGACTAATAAAGTAACCGCAAAGGAATTGGTATCTTTATATTTAATAAAATCGAATTAAAAGCCACCGAACTATTATTAGTCCACTCAAATCAGAATTCGTTGGGGCAGCTCGGCAGACATTTATTATTATCAAGTAGGAATAAAAAAACAAAAAATCTTTCTGCTAATTCCATGTGAGTGTGCTTTAGGTAATGTTGCCACAATATGTTGCAAAGTAATTTCACTTAACAAACGAAAATATATATACTTAGTATACTCCGCTTTCAGCATGGGAACACCACTAAATATTTTGGTACAGTCTTCAAAAAAAATAATAATAATAATAATAAACTTAAAACCAGCACATAATTCTTCAGAAGCGAGCAAGCCAAGTGGCACACAAAAACAGAATTTCCGGTATGTTAAGTAGTCGAGTTAATCTTATTTTCACTACTCACAAGGAAAGTAGGCGTGTTGCGCTTTAGTTTGCCAGCTTCCCACCCAATCGCTGTATTTAATCGCCTAGAAGCGGCAAAGACAGTCGTACAGGTCACGATAACTGAAAGTAGCAGATGGTAGCAATGAAAGTATATAAATATTTGCGAAAAGCCAAAATGATACCGAGTGCCCGTGTCAAGTGTGAGATCAAGTTAAGATATGGAAATTTTATGTTAATGCGGTTAACAAAAGCGCGTACGAGTATGTTATGGGCGTGATATAAATATCTAAATATAATATGTTAAGAGTGTGGTAGTAATGAAGAATTTGTATAAAAGAAATTGGCGCTTACCCATCAGCACCTTCAATTAAAAAAAAAAAAAAATAAATAAAAAAAAAAATAAAAATTGCTTATATATCAGAAACTATCAATTTCTTTTAGGTTAAAAATAAAACACATATCTTTCATATATGAATTTTCTTTTATTTAAAAAATGGAAAATGTTTAGAAGATATGTAATTGCGATAAGGTTATACTGGCTGTCAATAGGGCACAGCAACTACACATAGACTTGAGTAGGACCGGTTGTAGTGGCACCAATTTTTACCAAGCTTCACCCTCCAAACCCTTCATTTTCCTGATGAACTTCATTATCTCAATAACTTTAATGTCAGCTATCTTGGATAGACCATCCACCAAACAGTTTACATAAGAGAGTGATCGCTTTCCTTGCAACACTGCGCAGCATGCCCTATTTTTTAGCTCATCGCCTTTTTGCCTATTGCCATATCATATAATTTCCTGTCAAAAGTCCTAATATATTGGATATCATATCTTATTATGCTTTTTGGGAAGTTTTTTTTGTAAGCTTTTCTTGTCTGGATTTGCGACAAATCTTCGAAGCGTAGTTTACTTTTAAAAAGGCGAAGTTTTTCATTTCCTGTTGATAATTTTCTGCTGGGTCGTGCTTTGCAAGGCAAGTTCATCCACCTAATAGTTTCTCTCTCTCTGTGCTCGATGATCTAGTATCTATGAGACAGATAGTATTTTCGGAGATTGGCGTCATAGTAAGTAAGTGAACTCTGCGCTTGCTGCTGACTTTCTGTTTGCTGAACGTAAATATATCTTTAAAGCTGGCTTACATACGCTTTGTTTTCTTAATGATTGCAGAAATTTCCACCTGAAAGACACTACACCGGCTCTAAAGTTTAAATGAGAGTTCGTTCCAGAATGAATCTGAGTTTTTTGAAAATATGCCACCCCGCTGAATAAAACCACTTTTGAAAATTTCCTATTAACGCGACATCACAGCAAGGAAAGACGATCATTTAAATGTAATATTGCTCAATTTCTCCCCCAAACTCCACTAGTGACTTTTTTTCCAAATGGTTTTACCTTTATATAAATACTACGACAGGCCTGTTCTCTTTTGATTATCGACCACACTTATCAAGATATTTTCGATTAAGTGCTCCTCTGTAGCTGCATTGCCGATTTCAATTTTGTGTTACAAGCCATAAATCGTCTCTGAATGGTTGGCGTAGCACTTAGCCGTAACGGGTCCCACAAAAACAAAAAAAACATGCAATTGAGTCAAATTACAACCAGGAGGCGACCATTTGGCACTTACATTTCAGCTAATTATGCGATTTTAAAGCACGGTGCTCAAAGGGTCGTCGCAGGTGGCAAAAAAACTGGCACTTTGATGTTTAAAAGCCATTGACCTTGTCTCCGAAGGTATTAGGTTCCTGGATCACAACTTGGTATTACTTTGATCCAGGAACTTATCCTTTCAATAAGCGGTCAAGTGGATTTGTGGATATCAAGCTGTTCCAATGACTTACTTACATGTACCGGTGAACCTACCTGCTTGAGAGATTTGCCCCACGACAATATCCGTTCCGTTATCTGATTTTTCTGGTGGTGTCCCCACCGACAGGAAGAAATAAACTCGTAATCCTGATGCTAGCCTCGCTTGCTATCCCCATCGCTCAACTCCAGGCGGACTCCCTCGAGTGAACCGCCCCTCTGCGAAAGATTGGTAACCACATAGCGGTGCTCATCTTTCATCACTCAACCGAAAAGTAGAGCAGATTAAGTGAGCTGTAGCACCCACGTATTCAAAAAAAAAAAATGGGCAGGAATCGTGGTCGATACCCAACACGATGACACTTTCTTCCGCGTTTGAATACTGCCCATATGCCCGTCCTCAATTCCCTGCTTGATCAGTATCTTCAATATAGACTTCGGTGATATCACATCCACTCTCCACCTGACAAAAGATATGTATTCCTGAGAGTTTCGGGATATCTTCGTCACATATATGCTATGGCTCAGAGTAGTTCCACAGCTCCGGTAGACTTCCTACCATTGATGGGACGGCTGCGACATCTTCTACAGAGTAGATAGCCAGTCTAGTGTGTAGAGTGTTCATCCGAGAAACAAACCTCTTTGAATATGATGACCATAAGACCGCCATTGAACACCATCCCCAGCACGGTCTGCTGCTCAAATGACATGGTCACTCCAGACCTGTCAGCTTTGTGTATGATAGCATAGTTGAAACGACGTCTGTATACGATCTCCGGTCCTTCATTGCGGCTCCCGAAGTCTTGCTTCCCTCACAGGTATCTGACAATGCAGGTACATCGCTATCCCATGCAGCCAGCCCCTTGCGGGAGGAGGGAACCTTCTGTTTTTAAGCGTTTAGTCTCCCAAGGAGTTCGCTAGAGTCTTTGGAATAGTTTTGAGCATTTGGCTAGGCTTAGATGTCGGCAAAATTTGTTTACACCTGTAGTGGCGCAATATCTTTTGGCAGTTCTTTTGCCTGGGTTCACTTCCGCTGTTGTCTGGTTTTCATTTGATGAATGTGACTCGTCTGAGAGCGGGTTTGGCGTCAAAGCTGCGAGTGAATTTTTACTGCAGTGGTTACCACTTGCAAAATATCCAAGGTGAAGATATTGAGTGTGCGGTTGGAGGGGAGTCTTGTCGTCATCCTACTACTTTCCGAGACGTTTACTACAAGCCGATCGTAGTGCTTCGTCCAACTTTCCTCCTTGGCTCTGGCTATGCCGGCGTTAGCTTTAGCATATAAATGAGAAAATTCAATATTATATGAAATATTAATTTGCAAATTATTTGTCTTTTTGTTATTTGCAATATTTGGATAATTATACGACTGTATTTATCTTTCTCGGTTTTCCTAAATTAAACTTGTATATTTGCATTTTAATTGTTTGCCAAGTAGTTAATGCAATCTATTTGAACATATGTATATACATACGTCAACTTTTGCATATCGAAAAACAAGTTAATTTAAATATACATTAATTATTACGACTAAACAACGATTTTTAGTTAATTATAACAATATTATATATGTGATATAGAGTATTAAGGTTTTTCCGTTGAATTTTCGAATGCAATTATGTGCTTCAGCTGAACTCTGATTTTGTGATTGCCGGGAACTAATTTTCAAAATATTGCGAAAAAATCCGAACGTGAAGTGTTTCATGGCTTTCTTACGTTAGGTTATAAGAAAACTTTTATCTGTATTATAAAATTTAATTTAAACTATGGAAACTGATTGAAAGGATTCCTGGGTCTGGAAGAAAATTTGGGTTACAGAACAGCAAGAGCTAATTTGAACACTGAAATTATAGGACCAACGACCAAATCTTATCGAACTCTTGTAAAAAAAATATCAAGTGAACGACGAAACCAAGAGCAAAATCATATGTTTATTGATGATTTTGGCTCAATTTGTGGTTTGCCGAAGATTTTAAAATAAATTTTCATAATTTTATCTATAAAACAAATTAACATTTTCACTATAAATCTCTAAAGCCTTGGATTAATTTTTTTAGAATTATTAATAATCACAATCCAATCGCGCAATCGATAGCCCCAATTGTGCCTCCAACAAATGGCGACGTAATGAGGAATCTAACCCTCGCAGCAAAAATTGAACGGTTGACTTCTTCTGTCAGGCGACTGACCTGTGGGTATTCCTTATTTCGCTCCGAAGAGACGTTGATAGCATCCAGCTGCAAAGAATCACAAGGCGGCAAGAACCTTTCTGTATCGTACTTATAGAACCAAGATTTTACACCAGTAATGAAATGCACTCGAGCCTCTTCATGGGCGTCATTTAAAAGTCGAGGTACCCATCGAGCAGCTGTATTCGTATATCCCAGATGAGTTCATAATATTCGCGATACGGTCATGTGTCAATCATGGGTCTTCGTCATTTTTGTACTTCACCAGAGCTACTGTGGCGTCATCAGTGGAAGATTTTGCTCCATTTTTACGGGGATCGGTCCCTTCGGAAAAATATCCGGTCTGGAATCTTCGGAACTACTAAGAAACAGTCTCTAAAGACGGTGCAATGGTTCCATAGGCAACTTGGCATTCACTGAATTTTTATATTGGCTGTAGACTACCCAAGCCCGAAGGGAATCACTTGACGGATTTCTATTTTAGTTGGTGGTGGAATTTCGTCTGACCAATTCTCAGCTATCATGAGTTTTCTCGTCTCCATAAAATTTGAAAGTAAGACTAAGAGATTTTTAGGTATAACAAAATCAAATTGAAAGTCAATAACAGACCGAACTTTTGTTAATCCCCTCGCTCACATATTGCATCGATATAGCTATTTACTCCACATATATATGTATGTTTTAATTTTTAATATCTATTTTTTTTATAAAAAAAAGTAAACAATAAAAACAAAACACACGTTGGCCGTAAGAACGATGTTAAGTAGCTCGAAGCGACTATGAGAAAATAAATTATTCGTCAAAAAAAGAAGAAGCATTAAATGGCGCTTAAAGCGTTTTAACTGTATTTGTACATGAATTTTTATTTTCTTATTCCTCCAAGTGTAAAATACGTATATGTGTATGTACACGAATATTTTTTTTAATTTTCTTCATTTCCCCGTGGTTAGTCTTTTGCCACGTTCCACCTGTAGATAAGGCGTACAACGCTGAGTAGTTTCAGCATATAGCCAACATTACCGTTATCTATGCGCACCGTTAATAACATTTTACTAAGAACTCATAGCTATATGTACATACTTATGTGTAATATATAATATACCTTATACTGTTTACCATGTTTTTTCATTAATTTTCTCACATCTTTCCCTTTGAATCGCTTTCACAATGATGGAAATACCTGCTCTTTCTACTCGCTGCTTGTGTAACCGCCAACTTGTAGCCGGCGCCAACGAAAAGAAATTGCCCGTAATTGTGTTCATACATGGCGAATCGTTCGAATGGAGCAGCGGAAATCCTTACGACGGCAGCGTGTTGGCGAGCTACGGTGAAGTGGTCGTTGTAACGCTTAATTATCGCTTAGGAATTCTCGGTAAGTACAAGGAAACGCTTAAGCTTTACTAACTACCAGCATAAAAGCGGACATGCACTGACGCGTACCCAATGCCGAGCTCTTTTAAACTTAACTAAAAACAAAAGGTGTAATAAAATGATGGGGGGCGGGGGCGGGAGAGAAAGCTAAAAAAATGAACAGCAGAGCTAATGTAATTTAAATATATATATAGCATATATAAAATCACTGAAACGGGTTTGGGCCGAATGGATGGGAAACCGAATGTCCGCTGTCCGATGGGGCTTTGTCAGGAGTTCTTCTCTCTTAGCAGAAACTAAGCTTGACATTCTCTACTGTGGGCCGACCGCATACAATTTTCAATAATTTTAGATTATTATCGAACCAGGACCCGAACTCTGGCCTCTGAATGACAATACTCATGCTAACCACTCGGCTATTGCGGCTGCCAAAGACGGAAAATATATGAGCTAATAAAGTGCCAACGCATTTAGTTGAATTGCCACAAAAAAGAGAAAACAGTGAATGAGCTGTGGCACTAAGCAGGAGCAATAACAACAATAACAAATAAAACCACTTACTGAGCAATAACAATAATTCATGTAGAAAATCTTCTTCTTATTTTTATTATCATAAAACAGAAAATAAAACAAATATTTTTTATTATTTCACTGACTATACTACCTCTCTTCTTGTCTATCTCTCTCTCTCTCTCTCTCTTTCTCTCTCTCGCCTCTGTAGGTTTCCTCAACGCCAACCCCAATCCGCAAGCACACGCGCGTGTTGCCAATTACGGTCTCATGGATCAAATGGCCGCCCTGCATTGGATACAACAGAATATACAGAAATTTGGCGGCGATCCGAATGCGGTCACATTGGCGGGTCATGGCACTGGCGCTGCGTGCATAAATTTTCTCATGACCTCACCGACAATGGTGCGCGGTCTTTTCCATCGTGCCATACTCATGTCCGGTTCGGCGTACTCCTCATGGGCGTTGGTAGAAGATCCTGTCTCGTTCGCTGTTAAATTGGCCAAAGAGGTGAACTGTTCGATACCGGAGGATTTGAATAAGCATCACGAACAGATTGTCGATTGTCTACGTGAGGTGCCATTAGAGGACTTATATGCAACGGATGTACAAGCGCCGAATTTCCTCACATCTTTTGGGCCATCGGTAAGTAAAAGTGTGGATGGGATGTTGTGGAGTAGAACTACATAGTATAAGACACTAAATGCAGTGAATCGTCTCGAACTACACAAAGTATTTGAAATCACAATATTCTAACTTCTGCAAAAAAATATCAATATCTTATATTCATTTACAATAACAAAGCAAAGCTACATTAAAGCCTAGCAGTAAGCTTTGAAATCTTAATAACCAGAAAACTGTTGCTTTGATCCATATAAAATAATAAGGGACGAGCAAAACATTGTTCTTCAAGAGACTAGCAGATTCCTTATTTGGTGCTGGGCCAGTTTGCTTGGCTGGATAAAAAGCTTGTTGGAGGATTTTTCGCAATTTTGACAATATCTTTGCAGATTTTTGTTTCTTCTTTCGGCTTGCTCGAATATAGTCGAATTTATAGTATTGCATGATTCTTCCCTTCCTTTCGCTGTTTGACGCCCATTGGCAATACCGAAAACAGCAAAATCCGCCTCTGCCTGCTCTATGCAATGGAGTGGAGGTATTCTTCTCCCTCTACTTCCACCCGCAGGAGCTGCATCGAAACTTTCAAAGCTGAAGTGTTCGCCTCCATTCGACTCCACATAGCCAGTGTAGCGAGGTTAGGGAACTTTGAATTCACCGAACTATGTCAATCGTTCCATCGACTCGTAGTTACCAAAGGAACATAATTCTTACGCAAAACTTTATCTTGACAACTTCTAACGCCGACTAGTAGGATGGGTATGACGAGCGACTTGAATAATTTGGTTTTTGTTCGTCGAGAGAGGACTTTACTTATCAATTGCCTACTCCGGTCAAAGTAGCACCGGTTGGCAAGAGAGACGATGTTATCTACAACTTCAAAGTTATGACTGTCAACAGTGACGTGGAATCCAAGTCGAGAATGCGATGAATGTTTGTTTGATAACAGGAGATATTTCATCTTGCCTTCGTTCACTACCAGACCCATAACCTTCGTATCCTTATCTAGTACGGAGAAAGAGCAGCTTCAAAGAAAAAATTGTAAATGGCTTGGATGAGATATCCCTCTAGTGATGACTGATGCCGAGCCCCACAAACGATTTAAGAATGCGGTGCCTTAATTGCCGCTGCCCAGTTAGAGAGCGATAGACGAAACACGGACGTCTGAGACGGCTTTATATATAAGCATAAATTTGGTGTCGGGTTCATGTTGGGTGAGAGACTCCGTCGCCGAGTACTGGCACTTCCACAGAAGGATGAAAGCCTTACCACAATCTACATCAAAGCAATTTTTTTTTAGCACATCCTTGACTTGCGCGCTCGCTCCGACGGGACATAAGGACGATCTGGCCAAGCATACCGCCTATGAGCACAATGAGCACGCTCGTGCTTGCTTGTCGAATTTATGGTAGAAGGTATCTTCAACTCCACTGTCGAAAAACTCAGCCTTCAAAGCGAGACATACCTAAATGGGTTGGGGCTGATCGACTTCGACATGACCCGAATTATGTTTGTCTGTTGTACTTGATTCCAGCATGAAATGAAATTCATCAAGCTATTTAACTCACTCCAGATCGAAAACCATAAACCCAGATCGATCATGTTGTGACAGAGAAGATACATATGTCTGCATTGTTCTTAACATGCTTACACTCCGAGGGCCCTGCAGCGACACGAACCACTACCTTGTAGCAACAATGATATGACAATGATATGAAAATACAATACAACACCAGAAGATGGCGAACCCAATATCCTAATAGAAGATTATGATTATGTTTTGAGGAAAATGTTCGGACGAAATCATGCCCGCGGAATCGAAGAGTGCTGTGCCCAATCCACAAAAAAGATCACCTCACAATCTGCCTCAATTATCTTGGGATAAGCCTCCTTAATATCATCTATAAGGTTCTGTCGTGCGTATTATGTTAAAGACTGAAGCCCAACGTCAACAAGCTTTGGTCCTTATCAGTGTGGCTTTAGGCCTAGTAAACATACCAGAAATCCATCACGTACCAGATCTTTGGAAAAACCACTGCAAGAAGGGTCTAAACATCACCTTTTTGCATATAAAACTTATACGACTGTGTACACTGGGTTTGACCTTTACGAGACGTTCTGTACCAAACGACGTTTCCGGCATAGCGCTTTTTATCGTGTATCTGCTTCAACTTGATGCTGAAGACAGTAGTAATATACGCAATGCTAAATAGACAAGATACAATCTTTTAAAAGAGTATTCAACTGCTGGGCATGATATCTTCGAACTAAGTCACCGTGCCATTCTGATTTATCCAAGCGTAATAAAAAAGCGAAGCGATTAGGTCTCGTATGTACTGAGCCAGTAATCAAACAAACAGTCGGCGCACTTACGGCTTGGCTCCCATGTCACTGTTGACAGACATCACTACCAGACGATGGATCTATGAGTTGTACGGTAGATGAAGACATTAACTCGGTGTGGAAGGATTAATTGGAGAGCGGCCTGATGTCACTTAGTGTTTCCAACTGGCGTCAAACAGCAAAGAGAACAAAAGAAAACGAACGGAGTAGACGCAAATAAATATTTTCTGAATGATCTCTTTATAGATACAAAACTCTGTTGAATCAAAATATTTATTGGAGGTTTTTTTGAATAAAAATTAGCCGAAACATCTGTTATAATTTTTATTAAATTGTATAATTGAATTGAATGATTTTACCGTTAGACCCAATATTTGTATCTAAAGTAACCTATACGAACATATGTATGTACGTGTGTGAATACAAGTAACTTCTTTTAGATATGTTTAAGCCAGCGAACTTTTAATTTAACTTACCCAATTAAATGCTTAGCCACTGGCAATTGTTAGGAAACCAAGTTAAAGTGATAGGTCAACTTAAAGCTTCACAAAAGAGAGTTGACTAAATCATAATGTGGCACACATACATCATAATGTAGCACACATATATACTTTTGCATATATATATACATGTATATATTTCTATGTACATAATTTTTTTTTATAGCTTTAAATGAAATCGAAACCAAGCACTTATCTGATCAAGCCATCTCATAGTCAAAGGTTAAAAGCAAAAGCAACAAACACTTCCCTACCATTTTCCTGTTGTATTTGGTTTTGCCTTCTTCACGAAAGGAAATGTACCTTCTCCTCGGTTGAGTGTGACTGCGAATGACAGCATTTAAAAATGGACGACCTTTTAGTGTTGACGTTAAATGATAATAGAAGAGAATAAATTGACTGAAATACTTGTGCTTGTACAATACAACAAAAGGCAACAGAAGATAAGCATTTGCGATAAGAATGCAATAACTAAAAAAAAGAGAAAATACGTCTGAATGTGCAAAGTATACCTTGGGGTGTAAAGTTGGACTCGTATATATAGGTACATATTTGTAATGGAAGCATACAAAAAACTTTAATATATCATAAAATTCTTTGCAATAATTGATTTCGGCAAAATATTTTTGGCTACGAGACATTAAAAGGAAGGTTTCGCTAAATAATCAACAACAAGCTAACGTCCTAACTTTAAGACCTGAAAGTTTTCGGAATTTCTCATTTCAACTGTCCACGCTGAATACATTTCAGCACTTCTTTTGTTAAGTTAGTAGCACCGCTCTCAATTACCATGCCAATAATGAGCGCGATCTGTCGACCAGTTTGTTTGCAGCAGCTTTTGAAATCAGACGACCTTAGTTCGCTCTGCGAATTTTCTTTTACTGCCTCAATCGAGCCGAAACAGGTTCCACGAAGCGGTAACTTGAGTTCTGGAAACAAAAAAAGTCGCGTGGGGTCAAATCCGGTGAATTCGGTGGTTGATCGTTGGTATTGAACGAGTTTTTGGTCCTAAAATAGTTCACAACTACAGCACGGTGCGATGGCGTATTATTGTCATGAAAAATCCAGGAATTGTTAAGCCACAATTCCGGCGTATGTTTTCATGCAAATGCCTCAAAGCGCTCAAGTAATACTCTTTATTGATCGCCTATCTCGTTGGAACGAATTTATGATGAACCAAACCGGGAATATCGAAAAAAAAGCAATTTCCGGAAACTCGTTGGTCTTAATAAATATAGGAAGATGCTTCGCAAGAATGTCAAAATTAGGCAGGGGTGCGAAAGAAGATAACTTTGGTACAACAGCTTGAAAATTTAGTCTCCACTATGAAATATCCACAAGCCAGGTGAAATTATATAACTTTATCGTGGCATGAAATGTGATTACCGGCAGTACCAGCTTCCCATAGAAGAAAATTCAGCAAGATATTTGTCTATCATCTTCGGATTGAACAACTCACAATTAGACCGATCATATTGAGATTGTCTGAAATCATTCTGAACACCAGCACCTTACTCACCTAACTGCATACAGCAATGAACATCTGTTGAGCAGCACAAAAATGGTTCACATCGAAAAGCTGATATCACCATTGACAGTGCATTCTTGCTCTCTAAGAACACTCACCAACCACTTGGTTTAAGAAAATTATGAAATGGCATTTCGACCTCCTACGTACAGTCACCAATGAAAATACTTCGGATTTGTCCGAAATCCAAAATACCAACTAATACCAAGTAGAAAGAAAAATATTGTCTACCGGCTTGAGAAGATTTCAAGACCAAAGCATATTTACCAAAGAAGTAATCTTGCGAACGACACCGAAAATGCAATACCAGGCAAACTCGATTACCCATCCGTTGGCGATGCCACAGCCGTTTTACTATCTAACATTGATTTGTACGCATAGCAATTGTCCGCTTGAAGAACAACCAAGCTAATAAAATATTGCGGCAAAGAACTGAAAAAGCGCTGCATCGGACCGGTGGAAGAAGAATCCGAGTTACAACTCTGCTCTACGTAGATTTTAAAGCAACGCTAAAGGGTGATACCTCTTTGACGCGCAACTTATGCGACTTTGGTAAATAATGCCGAGGAGATTTATCAACTCGATTAGAAGCGTTGTAAACCTCTGCGAGCCGAAAGATATTAAGCGAGGCTTCAGACAAGATAACAGCTTATCGTGTGTATTCCAAAACTTAATGCTAGATGAGATGAGCTACAGTGATAAACAGCAAATTTAGAATCTTCTCTAAGAGTGTACAACTGCTGGACTATGCCGACAATAATGACACTATTAGCCTGAACAACCTGTTGATGCGAGCTCTGCTTTCTACTGACTGGCTAATTAGCAAGGTTTGTGGGTCAAGGCGAAAAATGTATTGACAACAAACGAACTATCAGCGCACTCGTGTAGACTGAGTAGATAATTAAAAACTAAAACCGAACTCTACAAGTTCCTCATTATGCCCGTCTTGCTATTAGAGGCTTGAACGATACTAATGTCGATTGCATTGGCAGCGGAAGCTTTCGAGAGCATAGTTTTGCTGAAAATATATAATCCTTTGCGTATGAGCAGCAGATAATACAGACGATCGAACGATGACCTATACAACGACGTTCCCATCGCAATTAAAACGAAAATGCGTCTCGACATTATCAGATATTTTCTTCCGATTCATGCATTACTTCATTTTTTATCAATTTCTTGTGAAATTTCATTATTTCCCAATATGTAGTTTTTGGCTTTTAATGCATACTTATTTAACATTTCTCAAAGGAAATGAAATAGAGGTTAGCCAGACCGCCGGTTTTACGATTTGCTTTTTATTTCCATTTCGACGCTTCCTTTTTGTCTGCACCCGGTGACATTTTCGCCTTATCGCATGACGGCGCGACAAAACAGTTTCATTATATCATTTTTCATGAGCATGTTTTTTCACTCAGTCACCCAAAAAAAAAACCCACAAGCTAAATATTCAATGTCGTAATGTTTCTTGCAGACCAAATGGAATAAAAAAATTAGTGGAGAAAGAAACAAATTTAAGCGCACATAAAAAGTGTTATATGTGCCTAGAGTGTCCTCCCAGCAGTACGCAATAGAAACGCTGCTTCAGGCAAGCGGTTATAAAACACATTTCACTTGAACTACTACTACAACTACTCTTTTTATATATAAATTGTTTTCTGACAGTGAAAAAAATCTTTAAAAAAAGCTATGTTAGGCTTTTGATAACATTTATGGGTGTGATAATTATATTTGCTTACAGGGTTTTGATATTATTTCAAATGGAAAAGGGTAATCCATTTCAAGGTTCCTTAATTTTTTAAGAAAAAAAACACAAGAAATCCAAATTTAATAGGGAATTTATTTGATCATTCAAAAGAACATTTTTTGGCAATTATTTTTTGAAGTTTATCTCTTTCAAATGTTGGCCGGAGCTACTTCTCAGATGATCCATCCGTTGAGTACAATTTTTGGTAACTCATTCAAGCATGTTGATTGAGAATTGGTGGATGACACGTTGATATTTTGCTTCAAAGCGATATTCTCCGCGTAAGCTTTAAACTTTACATATCTCCACAGGAAAAGTCTAACGGTGTGAAAGTGGCAAAAACGTGATATTATAAACTCACCGAAGTTTTCTTTCCATAAATCCTTTCCTTGAAGCCATATGTGGAAGTTCTCTCCTTGAAACCAAATGTCGCCGAGATCACGAGCTTTGATTTCTGGCATCAAATAGTCGGTTACTATGGTGTAATAACGGTCGCCACTGATGATAGCGTTCTCACCGGCATCATTTTTGAAGAAATGTGAAGCAATGATTTCAACGGCTCACGTTCGGATTGTTGCGATGTCGCTTAAGAAGGTCGAACGGCTTCAGTTTATGTACAAGCTGTTTTTTTGAAAGTTTTTAATTTAAGTTCTCGATATAAAATGCGCAAAATCGTTCCATACGTCAGACCTGGTTTGTTGCGAATGGTGTCGAATCGACTCTCCCCAGTTTTCGTGTTCACTACATTTCTTCACTGCGTGCTAAACGTGGTCCATGCTGGAATATGCTGGATCTCAAGGTGAAGGACGGTGTTGCGAGTAGTGCGCTCAGTGGGCCGATTATGTTGACTACAAGTTGAGCAGAGGGCTCGAAACACATTATTTGTAGAACGTGATTTGTAAACGTTGTTCAGACGTATGTAAGTCTTTCCATGACGAAATGCCAAGCAATACTGAACAAAAATAATATGAGAAGCTTGACACCACTCATACATGATATGTGAAAAAAGGTTATTGAAAAAAGTAACTATGCTTGGATCATTCGTTATTAGCAGACAAACAACCTCTTAATGCAGGTGGCTACGGCGGGTATCAATATTTTAATGCTCTCCTTTGAAATAGTTACTCGCCAACCCCTTCGTCTATTTCTCCACTTTCTCTTTTTTCCATACATGAGCGCTTCAGAAAGGTCGAAGAGATGGCAAACTGTAAGTGCTACATCATTTAAACCAGACAAGCAGTTCCGTCGTGGTGTTAGCGGTCTCGTTGCAAAAGGAGAAGTCCTTCTACACTGTAGTGTCACCATTGTGATGAAGATAAAAGTTCTGCATGCGTGAGAGCCTCAGTACTCTGGATATGTATCGTACAATGTTTCAAAGACAAAACCAAATTTAATTTCAAAGAAATATTCAAGTCCAAGGAACTTATTCTATAGAGTTCATCCTGCCATTGTGTATGATATTCGCCGCTGCGAGTATATAAAGGAAACAACATAAATCTTTCGCGAAAAACTTCTCCCGATCTTATCAGTTGTCGACATCGTCTACGCTTTTGCACCATATAAAAGGAATAGAATGAATGTTGTTGGTGTTAAAACTGGCCCCAAGTTGTAATAAATTATCTACGATATTAACAATGAGACGTGACCTAAGATTCGAGTGCACTCACTGTTTGTTTGATGACAGAAAGCACACCGTTCTATTCTTGTTCACTACCAGATGCCTTCGTCCCGCTTCAATATACAGTCTCGAGAAAGCAGAACTGATGGTAAAGTTACGAACGATATCAAAATGATTGGTACAAGCCACCAATTCTACACTCTTGCGAAAAACTGCCTCTTGTTTATTTGCCTCTGCAGCTTTGCGGTAGTGTCCGGCATCAGTTCACATAGCCGTATACGTTTTGCAGAGATGCCAATTCAGACGCTATCTGGATTCTCTCTTATACGCTCGCTATCTATCGCCCCCGAACTTGTTGTGCTCGAGTGACACGTTGGGAGATAGGCAGCCTGTCTTTACATTACTACACTACGGCAATCATCATCGTACCAGTCCTTCTTTCGACCTTGTGTGCCGTTCCTTTATACGGAGCTAGTAATGACTATTCTTAGAATGCAACAGTGCAAGTTGAATTGAAAGCCGTTTGAATGACTGCTGGGTTTGTAGATTTTGATCGCGTATCTTTTCACATTTCTTTGCTTCTACAAAATTGTATTTCGGTTGGATATTAGGGCCTCTTAATATACGTAGCTAAATGACACCGGAGATATGTCGTTCGTCTGTCACAATAAAATCGATTTGGCTGCCATTTAGTATTACCTACAACCACATATTTCGAGCTCCGGCGAAGTCAATCAGCCTCGCGAAGTATCTTTGTCCAAGCTGGGGTTGAAATCGGCGAACAGATATCGTGTTGGGCGCAGTGATCATAGTTGCATTTCCAGCGTTTGAAGAAGAAGTTCCTTATCACATCGTTCTAATTTTGTATCGTTGGCTTAGATCACTGGAAGCTTGAAAATTTGGCCTTAATTCAGAATGTATTGAGTGCTCGTTAGTTTTTGGCGATAGTGTCTTCAGCGAAAATCCAGCATCAAATCTGCGCTTTCTTTATATGAAGACCACAAGAAATGTCAAAAAAATCTATCCTTTATATGCCTGAAGACATCTACCACTTGAGTAAGTACACTTTCCCAAATGAGTTACCGGACATTCTAAGCCAATGTCCTAAATACCCACATAATGTCCAAAGGTTTCAAACTCCAGCAATGAAACATGATCGTCATTATGTTTGGACTCCACGTTCTCACGTTCTTCTCACAACATTTCCTTTCCCATAACAGGCGTCTGTTAAAATGCCTCCCTGAAACGAGAATCGAAATAGCTTACAAGTATTTTTTTTTTCAATTCCAAGTACTCTCCTGAGACGCGTGGGTTCTCTGCTGGGTTAGTAAGTTGCAGTCATTTCGTGGAAGAAAAACTGTTTTACTTTATTCATTTATATTTTTGTTGCTGTGTTTATGTGATAGTAACACCCATAATATTATTTGCGAAACGCCAAAACAATTCTTAGATATTTCGACGCACAAATATTGCCATTTCACTTAAGGACAAACACATTTTTTCGTTTTTCTTGTTCTTGCAACACTAATGACATTATTTACTGCCTTCGTGTGTGCCTCTGTGTGTGTCTGTGTGTGTTTGGGCGTTTGACTTTATTACTCAATTTCATTTTCTTCATTCATTCAATGAAACTGACTCATCTGCTTTTGGCCTTTCGCCGGGCTATCACTCATTTTTATGTCTGCGCCCAAAACCCCGTCGAAGAGAAGGACCAAAGGCAAACACACAAACACAACAACACAAACAAAACAATCTCACTAAAATTGGTTGGAAAGAAAAGTGTAGAGCAAATCTTCTCGAATATCAACTCGCCATTTACGCATTTCATTCGCCAACTGTTTTCGCCATTTACACATTTACAACAACAACAACAAAACTTAACAATTTCTCTTACATCTATAAAACAAGTGCGATTCCACTCACCTCACTCTTTTCACCACCGTTCATCTCTTTTTTCAATTCAGGTTGATGGCGTCGTTATACGACCCGGACATTCCAATTTCGATATCGATGATTTGATGATGCGCAGCGCCAAACGCGCCTCAGCAGATGGCGGTGGCGGCATGGGCTTCTTTGGCGGAAACGGCGCATATGCAGGTGGCGCCGGCGGTGGCTACGGCGCTGGTGGTGGTGGCCCATCTGGTGGCAATGGCGTTGGTAGCGGCGGCGGCAGTTCATCAGGTGGCGCTTACTACAGCGCACTCACCTCGAATCATCCGAGTATGAGCGGTGGCGCTAACCTTGGCCTAGGCGGCAATGGCGCCCACTATGATGTGCTGTTCGGCGTGGTGACCGGCGAGTCCATTTGGCGTTTCAGTGCACATGACATTCAGAATGGCTTCGAGGGCGAGCGGCGTGATAAGATTATTCGCACTTATGTGCGGAATGCCTACAATTATCATCTCAATGAGATTTTCTACACGGTAAGTGCGCAAATCAGTATGTTATTGATTATTACTTCTTTTAGAAAAAAATATATTTCGAACTTAATTAAGCCGATAAATTGAATCATTAGGGAGATTGAATCAATCAAAAATAGAACCAAAAAAGAAAAAAAGTAAAGAGAAAGAAGAGCCCTGCGTCTATTGTTGTTCCCTCTTTTCTGGCAGGATCAGTAACATTGTTTGACGTAAAATTGACATACAAATTTTTGCTAAAACCACGACAACTTGACACTAACATCTTGATATATGACGAATTTATGAGACAGGTATTCTAAAATTTGCGGATAACGAACGGACTTTTCCGAATACATACACAAAGTGTAGCCAGTTTCGTCTGACTCTCCAATATAGCGGAGGTCGTTGGAGGAATTTGGAGTGCTGGACCTGACAATATCATCTAGCCAGAAAAGTCGCTGGCGAAAACTGCTACCACCGACTTACCAGATGTCGCCGCTAATGTCCGTCTGGCCTCAGAGAGACCGATAGTGAGTGGCGTTATTCTTCTTCTTCATCATTAGTGCGGGTAACGGAAATACCACCAGGTCACTCTGCACGTAATGGAGATATTCCTCTGTCTCGTACAGCTCATCGTTCCATAGTCCGCGGTAAACACTGTAGCCAATGCGCATAAGACCATAGACCATAAATTGGTCGCAAATCTATTCACTCCTAAACTTCCAGGGACGCCTCATCGTAAACAATATCGTCCAGGCTTCTACACCATATGGTAGAACGGGAATGATGAGGACTGGAAACGTTTGATTGTGGTTCTTCGGGAGAGAGCCTTACGATTCAATAGCCTATTCCGTACAAAGAAGCATCTGTTGGCAAGAGTGATTACTACATCATTTTGAACTGTAGTAACTCAGCAGATGTCATTTCTCTATTGTAAATCGGGTTAAATTCAAACTCGAAGAAAGTATGCTTCGAACTTGAACTCAAATAACGTTTACAGCGCCAATAACCCATTAAATTCTTCCTTCTCTCCTACCCACAATCTGTATAGTTCGACCATGTTTTGAAAGTCAAATCAACTGCCGCGGTAGGAGGACAAAATCTTCCTTCAAAATTGCACATATTGTCATTTCCTTTTGCATTCTTTCTTTGCCCAATTTCCTTTCTTGCCACTGCCTCAATGACAGAATAATACCATAAAATCGCCATTTGGCAACACTATATTTACAATGTCATACAAGCGGCTCAATAGTGACAGGATAACGAGCATTTGCTACCGCCACAACGCCATAAACTAGGCTAAAATTGCAATCCCAATGGATGTGAGCGCTAACCGAAAAGCTTATTGATACCCGAGCGAAGTATGCGCTGATGCGGTTGAAATAAATAATAAGGACACTTTAAGATGACGAGCAACAAGATGGCATGCCAGCCAAAAGACTCACGTACGAGTATATACCCAAGCACAAGCTATTGCATATACTAAATAACATAAATACATATATGTATGTACAATAAATAAGAGGGAAATGACTTTGCGTTGAAAAACATAAGCCGCTGACTATTGATTTCCGCCAAATTTAAAATGACAATGTCAGTTATTGAGAATGAGCAACACACATTTACATATGAACATACTCATGTCAATGTAAAAAATTAAGGGGAGCACCATACTCCGTTACACCACCAAAGCCACAGCAGCAACCGAAAGAAATTTTCACTTTAATCGTTAACTTTGGTGGAAGACCAAGCTGAAGCTCAACGTTCACAGCTCAACAGAGCTAACCAGCTATGAAAACGGTGAGAGCAGCAAGTATTCCCGCAACAATGCTGGGCGCCTGCCGTAGCATTTGTTTTTGCTGGAATGTGAACGAAAGGCGTTCGAAGTCAACAATCGACTCTGTCAATGTGGGTTTGACGAAAATATGCTTGAATGGAGCTCATTTTACAAAATTAGCATTTCGGTCGCTTGGGGGATTGCTGGAAAATTTCACTGTCAAATTAGCATTTCACGAGTGTCGACCATAACCTCAAACTTAACCACGTTGAGCGTGTTGAACAGTCGAATTTGAGTAATTGCTGTACGAAAATGAGTGAAAACCGCATTAGCAACCGAAGCGAAAGACGCGGCGTGTACTCAACTGAGTTGATTGGTTGAGATGTTTTTCTGAAGGTGAAGAAAATTAATTTTGACATGGCGACATGGGAATCGCTCAATGTAATGTCGAAAACAGTGGAAACAACAAGTGTTTGTGATATCAACAAAACAAGCAAAGCAAAAACTCCGACTATCATTATATTATGGCAAAGTGGTCTGCTCGGTCTTCTGTTTGACTAAATCAAGATTATTTTCAGTTAACTATTTATCACTTTCTTTCTTCCAATTATATGAAACATTGGGGAAATTATAGCTACGATGATGACACCGGACAAGCAGCCCGAGATTATGTGCAAGGGTAACGAAGAAAAACACACTGACTTTTTGTTTACGTGACCCGTTAGGACTGACGGTTCACAATCTGTTAAAATCGAAATGATTCTATTAACCAGGAAGTACAAACTGCCTGCTTTATGCTACCTCTCTGCCCAAGTCAAACATCTCGGTATCATTTTAGATAGCAAACTCAACTCGAGTCGGAACACGGAAGAAAGATGAAGCAAGGCTATAACTACGTCGTCAGCATCTGGAGGCCGACACGCCCAAAAAATTACTTTCAGGACCTACTTAGAGTGAGTTCAATAGACGGCTGCTATCTTGATAATAGGAGCACTACCATCAACTTCCTAAAAAGCGCTGCTGCTTTTCTCAACTTCCATCCTCCGTATCTATATGGGAAATAACAAGCTAGCTGCAACGCAACTAGATTTAATGCAGCTCCCCCAACTTAAAAAAAAAACATCAGTATGCAGCTCTTAAGCTGGCTTTTGCTAGTGAAGCAGACCGTATATGGCTGAAAAAGGTCACGTGCGACAGCTTTAGCCAAAATTGAAACCGGCAAAATCAAAATATCTTATCCATCGAGACCGGTTCTTCATTAACATAATGACAGTCGCACATAATAATGGGACACTGTTTGATGGATCTTCACGGGATAGGAATGGCCCACCACTCTTATGCTTTCTGTCACAGCTGTAGGTATGAAGAAGAGAAAGAGTCTATTGAACATTACCGCTGTCACTATCTTACCTTGACATCTGCATCAACACAAGTCTCGCTGGGCTAGCACTAAAAGGCATACGAAATGGTTCGAGCAATTGAGAGGTTGCAGAAAGCTTAAGTTTTTTGACAATAACCAGCAGCCGCATCACCTCAACTCAACAATCTATTGGCATCCCATATGAATAAAATGAGCATTAGTAGGTGCAAAGAGGACGGCTTGAGTCAGGCGCTGCAATACAGTGTCGGTTTTTGTCCGGCCATAATTTGATTTTGTTGTGTTGTTTTGCATCTTGAGGTTTTTCCAACAAATGGAGGGACCTACGCTTTATATAAAGCAGCCCCCGAACGGACGAAGGAATACACTCGGAGGGTTTGACATTCCGGGGTTGATCCCGGGCTATCCGAATGGCTGTACACAATGCTAACCACTCGGCTACCGCGGCCGCCAAAGCAAAAGTATTGAAAGCCTACATGACGACTACTTTAGTGCGAATTAAACTTCCATCTGGCGCTACAAAGGACCTGCAGGTTTATTACGTCGCATCTTCTTCCTAGCGACGTACAGGATTTAAAACTGCCAATATCGAGCAATAATACCGACCATATTTCCGGCATGAAATAAAAACCACCTCAAGAAAATCCATCTGAGGGTATTAGTAAAAACAGTCGTACTCTCAATAGGAAAAACGTGCAGTTATAAACAGCTATACTGATGACCCACTTATAGAATTAGAATCTTTTCTCATCAGCCCGAAGCGATTTCTACATGCCGTTTTTCTGCTGAACTTTGAATCTTTCAATGAGCCAAGGCCGAGTCAAATCACGAAATTCAATTAAGTTGCAAACAAATACACACTATTTTATTTACAAAACAAGTGTAAAGAGAAAAAAATTGGCTTAAAACAATATTAAATTTCACTGAGAAAAATACCAAAAATCTTCCATAAGCTCGGTTGACGTCAACCGGAAGTAAATCGTACGCCTCTGCATCCAAGGCAAATAAATAAATGCTTGGGTTTATTGTGTAAATAACTCGGCCCAGCCACGTTTACTTTGGCCCACAAATTTAAATTATCTTTGTCACAGCAATTTCGTCTTCTTCTCAAGTCTTCTTAGTCAAACGATATGGGGCAGTGGGACAGAGAAAGAAAAATCAAACAAAATTTGGCAGCTTTTAAATGAAAGGAAATTCGTAGGAAATTAGCATTGAGCGAAACGTGCAGAGAGCGCATGGGAAGCAAAATACAACTAATTTTAAAGAAATTCAAAAAGAATTTAGAAGGAATGAAGTGGAGAAGTAACTTACATTGCCGCTGGTGATGCAGTTAATTATAGCAGCTGAAAAATGAAAATAAATGAACGAAACACATTGACTAAAAATCAATATTCTTGACCTGACTAAGTATACAAACATACAAAAATACATATACAATTGGAGCTTTGTAAACCTGGAGACGATTTTCGGCCGAGCTCCTCCTCCAATTGTGGTTTTGCGTCTTGATGTTTTTCCAACAAATGCGGGGACCTACAGTCTAAATCAAGCAGGGGTTGATATTCCCTGCCGAGGGGCGTCCGCAATTATAAAATTTAGTTTAATTTTTATTTTTTTTTTTTTGATGTTGGTCATGCCACCATTTGAACCCTGGCCATCACAAACATGCTAACTACTCGGCAACCGCGGCCGCCAAACACACATATATATATGTATATATATTTTTTAAAAGCACATAAATGTTTGGCAGGATTTTCACTACAGGCTTTAAGTCGTTCAATACGTCAATGGAAAATTTTGGCAAATTGAAAACAACGTAAATTAATAAAATCATTTTCGTAAACAGCTTTGTTTGGATTCTGTAGAAAAATA